ATGATTATTATCAGAAGGGGTTTTCTGGAGATTTGGGTAATTTCAGTAGTTGGGATCATGAAGCAAATGAAGCTAGACCACCATGGAAAACCTGGAAGCACTCTACGGCCGTTTCGTCCTATTGTGGGACTCCTCAGAAGTAGTATTTACACATTCGAATGCCGACTCAGTAGTCTAGAGTTTAAGCATTCATCGTTCACTTAATCGTTTATCAAATAAATTCATTCAGAGACTGATTGTCTATATATATATTCTATTTAAGCAGTTTTCGCTTTGTCTTTTCAGTCACTGGGAATAGTTAGGAACAAACTACACCTTTATGTCATGAAGTCCATGAATACAAACATTCCTTGAAAGCTAGAAGACACAAGAATAGTTTTTTTCGTCTCCTGAACTCTTCACTTATTGTACAGCTACAACTGAACAATCATTACAATCCACCTATACTACTGTTAATAATGATTCTACTACTAACTGATAATCAGCGTCGAGAGGAAATTCTTAGACTTTTAATAAGATATTAAGTCTGATACATTGGTTATAGTTAGTTATATAATATACCCTTGCGAGCCAGAGTAATTTGACATTGGTTTTCAGGAGGACCAGTCACCATCCGAAATTTCAAGTGACAACCCAAACAGTACAACTCAATCCCGTTTAACAGCAGAGTCAGACACCACCCTGGATTAAGTTTTATAACCCGAGCACAGTACAGCTCAATCATGTGGTGCAACCACACATGTAGCAAGCACCCTGATGGACCATTCTCACCATTCATATACACATTCACGTCATACTGATACATTGGACCAATCAGAAATTGGCAATTAGTAAGCGTACATTATTGGACGGAAAATAGCTCATAATTTTAAAGGATAAGACGCCAGTCATTGTTAGGGTAATTTTCTAACGGACAGATATATACATATATATGTGTATCAACGAGTACGCATGAGTGTAATCCAATTTTGCTAAACGATAGGTATCATCAATTCTACAAGTCAATCCCAACTTACTTGTTTTCCTATAGAAATTGGTTGTGTTACAGACTACTGATTTATACTAATGGTCATATATTTCTGTCAATGACTTTTACCATGTTTTATATCACGCTTATTAACATTGTCAAAGGATTGATTCTTACTATAATCACATTATAGAAGGATCCACATAAGTCAATGAATATTGACCAAAAAACGATTAAAATGACCATGTGTACAAACTTAATGTGATTTCATTGGTTTTTCCTCTTACTTTATTGCATTAATAAATACATAATAGTTGTGCAAAATAAGACTGATAATTGGTCCACCAGAGTGCCTGGTACTTGTGTTGTTGTGTTACAGGATTGAGTTTTGCTATTCAGATTGTAGCGTTAAAACCTATATGGTACCTGGTTCTCCTGAGAATGGAATTGAGCCGTAGTATTTGGGTTACAAATTTTAAGCCTGGGTAGCGTCTGGCTCTCCTACAAGTGGGATTGAGCTCTACTGCTCAGGTTAACCCTGGGTAGTGTCTGGTTCTTCTGTTAAACGGGAAGTCACGTGAAAGTCTGGTTCTCCTGAAAACCAATGTAAAATTACCCTAGCCTACAAGGATATATTATATAACTGAACTGTGAATAAGATTGATCATTATAAACATGGTACGTTTAGAGAGAAAAAATTGTATAATTGTCTGTGGTATTTGTATAAGCTAATGATTCCTTTGTATTTGATGACTATCTGATTTCAAATTCTAAATACAATACGTTCGTTTGTGCTCATCTACTTCTCTTTGATCTGAATTACGTTATTTTGGGGATTCCTAGTTCGTATAGTAATCAAAATACTTTTAATCATCACATTAACTTTGCGATGGAGCCTGTGATGGAACAGTTGGACATACATTCGAATCTTGATGCTTTTGAGGATTATATGGAAAGGTTCGAAATCTGGACTATAACCAAGGAAGATGTTGAGGATGTCAATATTTTGGTTAATTTCCTTACATTCATCGGAAAAGAAGCATACAGTATATTAAAAGTTCTGGCATTTCCGGGAAAGCCTATTTTGCTTCCTTATGCAACTCTGAAGAAACTACTGCTAGACTATATTAACTATACAAATTTCGATTGCCTTAAGGTTGGAAAATTTTATAAAATGATTCATCAGGACATTAAAAATTCCACTGCATTACTACATCATCCAAATCCAATGCATGCTCAAGGTTATGCAGTTAATAATTCATTGAAGAGTTGTGAGACAGGTCACGAAGATGATATCAGTGATTTCAATGCACAACCAGTATGGTGACTGTATACAGTTCCAGGACCCAGGTGAGTCAGTTTCGATTTCTGTCGTTAATTCTAATAGTGATGAGTATATTCTAGATTCTACAGAGTCTACCTCCGATACACAATCGGACAGACATATGATGAACCTAAAGAAAAGACGTACGATTGATCTCAGACATTTAGATTCTCATTCAAGCTGTGGTATCTGTATGAACCAATCAACTGCCCATTAGGATGGAGAATAGCTGAGCAAAGTGGAAGAAAAATGGTACACCTCATGATAACGGATGCACACTACAGGATCCGCAAATACCAACACGTCATAGAGGACCAAAAGATAAAGCTACAAAGGATGCTCACATCAGAACATTTGGAAATCGTGACAACAGCCATCGAGATATCATGCAAACGACACAGAGAACAAAGAAGAAACACCTTAAAGAAAAAACTAATCAAGATCTCAAAACCACCCGTGGAAGAAAACAAAAACAACTGCGTGATCAATCTATCAAAACAACCACTAACAAATACGGAAGAACACCTGCTCCAAAAGGGATTAAACTACAATACAAGCGACGCCACAAAGCTGGAGTTCTTCGCAGCACTAGAGTCATCACTCAAAACTTCCGGAATCAGTGAAGAAACACAACAGGAAATAAGGCAAACTATAGTACCGATAACTCAACAGGTGAAAGAAAACAACCAACTGACTCCACAAGAACGAAAGGCCTTTAAAGAACTCAGAAATAGAAAAGATATTGTCATAATACCAGCGGACAAAGGACGCACCACATTGATCACGGATAAAGAAGAATACGTCAACAAAAGCCGAAGAACTACTAGAAGATAACCAATCAACTGCCCATTAGTATGAACTAACTATTCCTTTGTACTTGATGAATGCCTGATTTTGAATTCTAAATACAATACGTTGGTTGGTGCTCACCTAGTTCTGTCTACTTAGATTGCGTTATTTCGAGAATTCCTAGTTTTGTACAATAATTCAAATACTTCTAATTCATGAACCAATACACATCTAGGATTATAATGCTTTGGTAAAACTCGCTAATAAGCAAGTAAATTAAAAGTCCTACTGTAACATTGAGTTAGATAACATGAATATAATATGGGAACAAGCTAATAAGAATTTAGAAAATGGTTATCGATTTATTGAGTTAAATTTAGAAATCAATTGTGATTATATCTCAGTCTTACAGGAGGTCGGTCGCGGCTCGGATAGCTCAGTGGTAATGTCTCTGACTGTGAAGCTGGGCGACACGAGATCGAATCCGTCAGGGAGCACCATTTCCTTCAAGATTACAGGTAAACCTTGTTGACGAGTGCCAAGTAGCACGAAACGCGGGTCCAGAGTTTCCTGTTGACTACCTCCAACCACCCAGTGATCAATCAATTGTGATCAACGATTTTTATGGTATATCATATGAAAATTATAGTTCCCTCAAGATTACCTTGGTAACAAGTGTTGAATAGAATGAAAACTAGGTCCGAAATATCCTGACAACTAAGTTGAACCATCAACTTACAGAAGAAACGTCTTTGCATTGGTGTTAAGAACATTATAAAGTTTATATGTATATTTAAGTAACACTTTATACAATGGAATGTAAAGGAAGTATGTGTATATCATATTGTCGTTTTGTTTATCAAAAAATAATCAAGTAGAACAGTTTTTAAGAAAAATTCAAAATAAGAAATACAGTTGAAATCATGAATCACTTGAAGCTAGACCATTATGGAAAACCTGGAAGCGCTGAATGGCCATTTCGTCCTACTATGGGACTCCACAGTAGTGCTCATCCACGATCCCGCCTCGTAAGACTTAAATTCAGGACCATAGTAGGACGAAATGGCCGTCCAGTGCTTCCAGGTTTTCTATGGTGGTGTTTTGTTTCAATTGACTTATGATCTCAACTATTAAAACTACTATAATATCCACAAAACCTCTTTTGATATCATATATATACCACTATTATATCTTAAAAGAAAATTATCACAAAAGTACACAATGAAGAATAAAAATTTCACACATTATTAAATAAAATTGCAGTGTGTACTACTGATTTCGACAGACATAAGTAGTATGTATCACCAAACAACAGTGGAATGACTGAAGATAGAAGGTTAACATAATCATAGAGAAAAGAATGACACCAGTAAGTGATTGGTATAGAAACAAAGAAACAACAAAATCTGAGATAATTGATTAACATTTTTATCAATGAAGTAATAACTGTATAGTTTTCAGAGTTTACAATGATGCTCTGTCATGTTGTATTGAAATACAATTTGATTGTCCATCATCACACTCGCCTCCCTCCACACTTGTCACTGAATTAACAATAAAGTAATATCTGAAGATAGTTCTTAAAAATAGATTCTGTTATTATAAAAATACTTTTAAATTTATTCAGTGTATTGAATAAAGAAAGGAGGTGTTGGAAACAAACAAAAATGAAAGATCTTAAGTTTAATTGAAAATATAAACCGGTAACACAGAAGGTTTCCTTTGAATATGTCGTTGATGATAATGATGATGGTGGTGGTGATGGTGGGGGTGATCTATGAGAACAAATTACATGATCGGTAATATCCAACATTCTATATTGAATGGATTGATGTTGATGTGATAAGGAGCGCGAAATGAGAATGAATTCAAATGGATAGACTATTTTGAAGAAGAAGAAGAAGAAGAAAAATAAATAATTCAACTAATCAGTGGATCTTCCAAACCGAATAAAACTAACATTTGATTTAAAGTTTGAACATGAGCTTCGACTGACACTGCAAATTGTCCCGCTTCTCTAAGTACCTTAAATGGAAAGAAAATGAAAATAAAAGCATAAATATAGTAGCTATCTAGTTTAAGATAAGAACAAGTGTTCGATTTCAGTGGCCCCCAAATACCCTGGTACGACCGAGAGTGGAGAGAGTCCACTCTCCCTCGAAAAATGCTCTCACATGGCCACGCGTGCATAGCCTCTGACAGGGAAGTCCAACTAATTGCCTTCTCGTGGCCACAGTGTTGTTTACGAAATTGGAAGGACGAAAAGCGAATGTCCGGCGCCTTAACCAGGTTGGTGGACATGGGGAGTCCACCTAGAGGAGTTGGAAAACCCTCATTCCAAACCAATGGCGCACATGGGCTCCAGTATACTGAAGGAACAAATGGCATATGAACCAATCGTTGGTCATCGGTTACCATGGGACTGCATCTCCTTACGATGCTACACTGCCTTGTGAATCAAACCTTTAGGTCGAAGGTTCCGGTTGTGGCCCCTTAAGAAAACCACTTGCTTCGGTTTGGGCACCCGGGCAGTATAACAGCTCTCACACATATCAAATGAGATTTGTCTGTCGCACATGTATTTGGTGCCTCCTTATACCAATATCTATATGTTAAAATAAAATAAATAAAATCAATTTCAGTGAGTTTAAAGATCATAGTTAAAAGATGATAGGAAGTATCTAAAGTAAAAACTAACATTTTGCATTATGAAGGTTAATCAGGCAAAATCGTTTCTACATGGTGGTCGGAGGTAATCAATAGGATAGCATTCGATCTGCACTAAGAAGGAATTGACACATATACCAATGATCATCACCCAGTGATCAATCAATTGTGAAAAGAGTTTCTACTCCAGATTTTGATTCATGCTAATATATGGTTGAAAAAAAACACTTAATTTGACAATCTATTCTGTTTGCTAGGTCAGTCATTATGAGGTATTCGATTGAATGCTTAAAAATGCAGGTTTTTTGTAGTCACAGGTTAGACTTTGATCATCTAATATTGAATAGGTCAGTGAGATAAGAAGATTCTGAGGGATAACAACCATAATTATTATTGGTTCTTATATCATCAGTGTAAATCCATTTCGGTTACTCTATTGAGATTCGATTGAATCCATTAGAAACAGAATCAGTCATTTAAAATATCTTAAGTAAAGCTGAGGGTTAGATGTTGCTAGGTTCGCTACGCAGAATACAGTATGCAACTAAGGCACTCGAATGTATAGAACCTCAACAGTCGTAAATCAAAAGACAGAAGGAAACTTTACCAGTGCTTGCTGGGTAAGAACCGAAATGTACAGAAAATCATGGGTATTTATAGATATTAGCATTTGTTATAACAACATGTTATGCTACTGTATAATAGTAGCATGCTACGTTGATATTTTAGAAAGCTCCATCATGTTCTGATTAAATAGAAACTCTTCGGCTCCTTTAGGGCCTTTGGAGGCTCTATCATAGTTCTCGGAAATCGCCCCAACAGGTGTGAAATAATCAATTAATTTATAACGCTGTAAACCTCTACTGTTTAGCATTTGGACCATATATTATGGATTATTAGCTACCATCCATTCCGAAAGAAGGACATAATTAGCTTAATGAAGACATGGTTATTGACTTTCACAGTTTTTGATGTCACTAAACTAAGATTTCATGAATGATATATATGAGATGATTCTTGTTTACGGTTGAAGAACTTAACTAATATAACTTAAAATTGATTGCGGTCATGTCGTTGTATTTCATCTTCTTGTAAAGTTTGACTTATGTGTTGTAGTCATCCAGAAAATTCCTCAAAGAAACGCCAAAATAGGACCTGAAAACGCTGGGAAAACATCTTATCCAATCAGCATTCAATAGAAGTCTTTCCAGAAACATATGGAAAGTGGAAAGTCACATGTCGCGTTTCTCATTGGATAATTACCTGTACTGTTACTATGTTAAGTAGTGTTCCAGAGATTTCCAGAAACTCGAGGCCATCTTAAATACAATGAATACCCTCGATTTTCTGTACACAGACGAACATTCGAAGTAAAACGTTTCTTTCATATTTCACTCCTTTTGTCTCGTGTTCAAGTCCCTGCATAGATTTAGCCATCAATGGAGGGAGGTAGATTACTGGAGGAGCTTGGGAATCGAATCTAGTGTTCAATTAAAAGACTTATCACTAAAAACTTGACTTCCATCTTACTTTCCACTTTTATATAACTTCCAGACCTTCTGCTTACGAATAACATCATATACTACTTATGTCAATAAGAGTAGCCCACACCACAGAGGATGTGTTGCTCAATTTCGTTCGAGTTTCGCGAGGTGGAATCGTGGATGCGCACTGCCAAGGAGTCCTACAGTAGGATGAAATAGCTGTTCAGTGTTTCCAGGTTTTTCAATTGTGATCTAACTTCAATTGGCTCATAATCTAAACTATTAAAGTTATTATAATATCCACAAAACCCTTTCTGACAATAGTCAGTCAGTTATAAACAAAGTCTAACCTGACACAAATGTATATCAGGTTACAGTAAATGGGATATGAGAAATGGAAAAGGAAGAGATGAATGATAATAGTAATAAATATAATAAAACAGAATCAATGTATTTAAGTTTTAGTGACCGATTTCGAACCATATTAAATGAAGTTCCCAAACATTAATTGTGATCAATATACATACAGGTACTTCAACCAGGATGTCTGTACTTAATGGTAAGTTATAAACTAACGGTTTATAATCTAGTGGATTGATTGTATGTCTTCGTTAGAACAACTCTTCTATCTTCTATCAAGCTTGGTGAAAAATTAATGCTGATAATGGTGTTCAGAAGAAAAATGACAGTCCTATGATCAGCTTAGAGAGTAAAACACCTAAACCATGTTAATTTATATCGCAGTATCATCTATTGTCAACGAGCTGTTCGAGCTGTTGTTGACCTCTTGTAGGACTGAAATATTTACGATTGAATAATGAGTGAGTGATAATCAATGTCAGGTTATGATTCTTGATAAGTGTCACCAAAAATCATGAAATCTAGTTTCAAGAGCATTCTCTCAATCGTCTCCAATAACCTAACATGTGACATAATACACTGCGGTGTCAGGTCACTTGGCCTAGTAGTCACATGTTGTTACTTCAGTGATATAATTTGGTCACTATTAAGAACACTGCTAGCCATTATCCATATTTGCTTAAAAAGCTTGCGACTTAAGGTTATATCGAGGCAATCTGCACAGGATGCACATACGCCAATAAGAGATTAATCAATTGCAGTCCTAAATATCAATGGGAAGATTCAAGTAAAAAAATACCAAGTGAATTTAAAATTCATCACATTGCACAAGCAAGTGGCTAACATGACTCAGTGGCCAAGTGAATAATGTGGTAACGTTTGAAGTAAACGCAGATCGGTTCGAGTCCTGGACCGAACAATATCTGTGGAATGTATAGTACATCCAGCTGACGAGTCCCAAATAGGATGAAACGTGCATCATTGGATTCCACTACTAACCACTATCCATCTTTACTTATACTAAACATGGTATGTAATTGATCATAGAAAACATATTAAAATCAACAAGTTTACAGTGGTATTTAAGGACATGGGATTATAACACAGTTAAGTGAAAAAATCGATTTCCAATTCATATAACCTTAATCTGTCTAATCTTCTTTTATACATACAGTTTAAGCTTTATTTCATAGATTGATAAAAGCATCTATCTTTTATTTATATAAATCCACATACATACACTATTTTAGTATTGTTATTATTAATACTATGCAATCTAGAATAGTAATGTCTCTGTTACATCATCATATTGAATTAGTAAGGAATTCCGATAGGCCCTGGGTTCGAATCCCGCGAGGCGGGGTCGTGGATGCGCACTGCTGAGGAGTCCCACAGTAGAACGAAACGGCCGTTCAGTGATTTCAGATTTTCCATGGTGGTCTAGCTTAAATTGACTCATGATCTAAACTGTTGAAATGAATTCTTTGTAAAGAGATTTCTGTAATGTATTTCATGTTTTAAATCATTAACTATTTCCATATTTGTATCGTTTACATATTATTTATTTACTTACGCCTGTTACCCTATGTACAGGAGGGTAGGTCACCCTATCAGAATTCTTTATCGAACTCTGTCTTGAACAATCCTTTCTAGTTTATTCATTGTATACCTGGTACTAATTATTGTACAAATTGAGATTTCCTATATATGGTGAACATAGTTTTATGTAGGTCATAGTTATAAGATACTCTTGTGTGTCAGATACCATCCAGACTTTCACGTGACAACTCAGACAGTACAGCTCAATCCCGCTTCGCAAGAGAACCAGATACCGTATAGCCTTTAACGCTACAATCTGAATAGTACAGCTCAATCGTGTGGTGCATGCACACAGGTACCAAGCATCCTGGTGGACCATTCGCATCATTCATATACACATTCACGTCACATGTATAATAATTATTCTGATCAATAATCACGTGAATTAATTATGCACACCACATACAGACCAAAGTTAACCTACTCCGTTTACACGACAGTCGAACCAATTAATGTTAGCAATGTCGAGATGTCTTAAAATGTCCCAATGACAATGGTCCTTGAGAACACTGAAAAGCAACCACCAGTATGAATGAAAGCAATTAACCAGCAAACCAATTTTGTACATGAACAGTCAGCAAAACTTGTTAAAGCAATGCTGAACCATCCATATTACCAATGGCGAACATCCAGCCTCATATGAGATCTTCTACATAGCCATATACCTCATACAGCATACAACACATATGTAGGGTAGTAAATGAAGTAGCCCAGCCTGAAGCGTTTGTGCTTAAATAACGCTTAAAACCCATTGTCTGGTGTTAGAATACTACTACTAGACCACCAAGATAATTTTTATCGCATTTACGACATTTCAGACCCTGAGTTAGGGGTAGTACCCTTTATATAGGTCACAGGAGTTTATATAAGACAGAATAATACAAGGTAACTCTTGGTTGCCTTTATTTTTTAAGTCCCTCATTGATAGTTTGTAAATGAGAAATTTTTCTATACGCTATGGGATACACTATGGGAGAGAACAAACCAAATCCCAACGGAGAAAGGAATCAGAAGAAAGCGCTGGAAGTAAATAGAACATATATTGAGGAAAGCACCGAACTGCATCACAAGTCAAGCTTTCACTTGAAATCCTCAAAATCAAAAGAAAAGAGGAAGACCAAAGAACAGATTACGCCGAGAATTGGAGACAGCCATGAGAAGAATGAACAACAATTGGATAGAACTAGAAAAGAAGGCCCAGGACAGAGTGGGTTGGGGAATACTGGTCATCGGCCTATGCTCCATTGAGAGTAACAGGCGTAAATAAGTAAATAAGTAATGGGATACACATAAGTCTAGTTTATGAAATTATTGATTTCAATGTAATCTAAATGGTAACAATGTATGTTCACTTTAGTAAATAAAGAATTAACTTACCAACAATTCACAATTATCCTGTTCCAATCCTAATTTTCTAATAAATACCGATCGTTTAGGGACAATGAGTAAAACAAACTAGAAAAATTAATTTGATATAAAAAAGAAAAGGAAAAATGAAGAAAATACTGTAATTAGTAATTGTGTACTTAATACTAACTCCACCTGTAGCTCTTCTAGAGTTACTGCCGGTCCCAAGCCCGGGTAAAGGAGGAGGGTTGGGCATGGGGTTAGAGACCCTATCTCATAGAAAACTAACTCGTTAAAAAAACGCTAAACGCTAACGCACTTAATACTAGACTTCATAGAAATTCTAGTGTAGAAAATATGAACAGTCAAGTCGGTCATGTTAGAAATGAGATAGTAACTAATCGATTATGATGAAATTGAATTGTATTACATCATGTATTGATCAGAGCTGAAAAATGTAAGCCATTAAGTTTAAACCAACTAAACCCATCAATCGCATCCATGACCTTAAGATCCTGGATTCGACATCATAAGGAATAGAAGTTAATTACTATAACGGAACATCTTACCTTATCAGTACGCTTGTGAATTTCAAACACGAAGCCTTTACTTTACCCCTACATTTAATGATTTTGTAGTGAGCGAAGGTATGAGCTTCATCGTATGCACACGAGTGTAAGTAGTTTTAAGAGAGGATTAATGTTCACCTCTCCCTTCTTCTTATTTTTTTCTCAGACCATTCAGGGAAGCAAGTTGCGTAACCTATGTACATAACTATACACATAAATTATTGAAACTGAGACTCATGCAATTCATGCATATAATCATACACAAAACGGCCTTTTGCGATTTTACTACCTGGAAGTTAGACCATCAAGTCATCCATGATACAACAGATTGGTGGATTATTCCGATGTCTGTTGATCTTCCAAACTAGCTAGTGAGATTATCTTCATTACCCGGCATCGCTATGAAGAGACCCTCAGGTCGAGTCTTGCTATTTCGTTAATTTTTTTTAATGATTGACTGTTCATTTTAGATGTTTACAACTGATTAGTTGTTTTTTTTGTTATAGTTGAAATCATGAGTCAATTGAAGCTAGACCACCATGGAAAACCTGGAAGTACTGGACGGTCGTTTCGTCCCAGTATGGAACTCTTCAGCAGTGTGCAACCACGATCTCGCCCCCCGCGAGATTCGAACCCAAGACCTATCAGTCTCGCACGCAAACGCTTAACCATTAGACCACTGAACTGGCTTGATTTCGATTTGCAGCACAAACACCATGAGGTTATTTCTTTGGAAACAAACAAACATACACACACACACACCAAACTATAAATTATACTCACACGAAATGCATGACGCATTAATTTGTTATGATATTTTGTCAATGTTTCATCATAAGCTTTTATAATCATATCACGTATTAATTCATTATTTTTAGATTGAGCAAAATAATGCAGGAAACAAATAAGAAATTGAAATGTACGCTTTAACCATAATAAACCAATTGATCCGGAAGAATCATCACGATTTATTTCATTAGCTAATAAGTCATATAATGTATTCACATGTAAATTGGTAGATGCACGTGATACTTTCTATACAATAGAATATATATATATAGAGAGAAAAACATACACATGTAAATGGGATATATGAATAGTAGTTTAAAAGATAGAAATATTGGTTAATAAAGAGAGTCAATGGCGATTGAAGGTAGTCGACAGGAAACTCTGAACCCGGGTTTTGTGCTACTTGGTACTCGTCAGCAAGGTGTACCTGTAATCTTGAAGGAACTGGTGCTGCCTAACGGATTCGGTCCCGTATCACCCAGCTTCACAGTGAGAGACGTTGCCACTGAGCTATCTAATCTCAATATATAGTGCCTGCAATGTCGAATCACCTAGACTGGTGGCCACCTGGCAACATGGTCGATAGCATTCGATCTGCACTGAATAATGACTTGACACACATGACACTGATCACCACCCAGTGATCAATCAATTATGAAGAGAGTCAATAAATATTCATCATCATGTTTTGGGACTCCTTTACAATGTACACCCAGCATCTTAGATGAAAATGAAATTTTGATATTATAGTAGTGTATCGGGTAAACTATCAAATTGTACAAAAGATTACAATCCCATAATAGTCTGTAAATACGTATTACAGCTAGATTATCATTCATTATTTAACTCTCGATATTGTTGACTATAGAGACCTGATAACTTCTCCATATAAAACTTTACGAATTCCACGATACGGTCCTAGTATAATGCTCAAAGATATTATGTGTTTGGAACCTTGTAAAATGATGGTTGCATAATGTTGAAGAATACAAAATGAAGACAATGGAATAAATAGGGATCATGTTCATAAAGGGTGATCATCAATAGGGTATATTTTAATAAAGATGATCAGTGGAAAAAGGGAATAACATTCTGAACAGTATGAAATATCACTACAAATACTTAATCGTAATCAAGTCTGTAACTTAGACATTTTCGGTTACTTGAAATTGTCTAACTGTTGGGGTGATCCAGAAAACTTCTCGCAAAAGAAAAGAAAGGTTCAGGAAACACTAAGAAGCATCCCATCCAATCAGCGTTCACTAGAAGTTTAGCCAGAAACATTAAGAAAGTGAAAAGTCACAAGTTGAGTTTCTGATTGGCTGATTAATATACTGTTACTATGTTCAGTAGCATTCCAGAATCTTCGGGAATCCAAAGGGCATCCAAAATATTATTAAAACCCTATATTTTCTGTATTAACATGAACCTTTGAAGTAAAGTACTTCTCGCATATTTTGCGTCTACTATCTCGTGTTCAGATCGCTGTGGAGTTCTAGCTTAGGGGTTACGAGAATAGCTTAGGAACCGAATATAGCGTTCAATTACCAAGATTTATCACTAACAAACACTTGATTTGTGTGTGGCTATGATACTGAGATGGTGGAGAAGATTTGTAGCTCAGGTGGATGATTTTGGTGGAGTTTTGTTCTCTGAGCTGGATGGTTTGGTCGTGGAGCTTTCATCGTTCTTCTGAACGACATCATCATCACAAACTTCAGATAGAAGTGAAGTGTTCGAATTTATCCATATGTGTTTCACAGCTTGTTCTGTGCACCTCGATGTTGATTGGCTCTTGTTGACCTTAAATTTATCATTGTTTACTTCTTTGTTTTGGTTGTGTCTCCCATTGGTTTGATTTTTGTTCCTATATTTATGCATGACTTTCCTGATTGGTTGATAAATTGGATTGATTTCAATATGTTTGTTGATTGCTGATTGACCTGAGTGCCAGGATTCTAAAAATTCTCTGGTGTTTTTGTAGTTTCCTCTGTCTAAGATTCCTACATTTTTCCAATCGAATGAGTGTCCGCAGTTGTCCACGTGTATTGATATAAGTGAAGAGATATCATGCCGTTTGACTGCTAATTGGTGTTCATGTAGGCGAAGATGGAGGAGGCGTCCGCTTTGTCCGATGTAGTGTTTGTCGCAGTTAGTACAATTTATTTTGTAGATGGTGTTTGATTTGTTTTCCTTTGTTATTTCATCCTTTGGTTTGCACAGGATCGATTGTAGTGATTTTGTCGGTTTGTGTGCCACACCTATCCCGAAGGTTTTCAGCAGTCTGGTTGCGGTTTATGATATTCCTTGTATGTACGGTAGGGTGATTCTTTTGTTGATTTTTGTGCTTGACTTGGGTTCTGATGCTGTGTGCCGTTGGTGCTTTTTGATGAAGTTGATTGGGTAGCCGTTCTTTTGAAATATGTTCTTCAGGTATTTCTCTTCATTTTTTCGTGCTGCTAGTGTGCTGCAGTGTGTCCTCGTCCTCTTGAATAATGTGTGTACGCAGTTGATTTTGTGAGCTCTTGGGTTGTTGCTGTTGTAGTTGAGAATTTAATCTGTATGGGTCGGTTTCCTATATACTTGAGTTTCCAGTTTTCCTGTGTCAGTTCTAGAGATCAATATATCCAAGAATGCTAGTTGGTTGTTTGACTCCTGTCCCATTGTGAAATTGATGTCATTGAAAACGTTGTTGACCAGTTTGTATGTGTTTTCCAGTTCATTCTTTTTGACGATGATAAAGGTGTCGTCTACGTAGCGAATCCAAATTTTTGACTTGATCACTGGTAATATCGTGGCTTCTAGTCTTTGCATCACTGCCTCTGCGATCAGTCCCGATATTGGTGATCCCATGGATATCCCTTTTGTTTGTTCGTAGATTTTGTTGTTGAATTGAAAATATGTTGTTAGGCATAAATCGATGAGTTCCTATAGACTTTGAATTTGAAGCTTCGTGTATTTGGTGAGATTTGTGTCGTTGTTGAGTAGTTTCTTTTGCTAACTGTTGTTGAATTGAGGTAAACAGTGCTGTTACGTCTATGGCTATGATACTGCCCGGGGTGCCCAGACAAAAGCAGGTGATTTTCTTAAGAGACCACACCCGGAACCTTTAACCTAAAGGTTTGATCCACAAGGTAGTGGAGCAATGTCAGGGTTTTCGGTCCCATGGTAGCCGGTGACCAATAATTGGTTCATACACCATTTTTTCCCTCAGGATCCTGGAGCCTATGTGCACCTTGGTTTGGAATCAGGGTTTTTCGACTCCCTAGGTGGATTCATCATATTCATAAACCTGTTTAAAGCACTGGACATTTGCTTTTCGTCCTCTCAACTCCGTATACGTGTGGCTCTGTGCTAGCATTTGGAGAGGGAGAGCTGACTCACAACACCCTCGGCCATACCAGGGCATTTGGGAGCAATCGCAAAAACATTTGAAAAAAACTTTGGACAATATTACAGTTTACTCTTTTCTTATTAACTGTTCAGTACTAAGTTTGTCAAGATTTTGAATATTGTAAGTTAAATAAACCTATCAACATGTATCTAACTGTGAAATGTGGATAACAAAAGATCTATTATATTCGTATTTTGATACTGTAAATAATATTAGTTTTAATGGTTGAATTCATGAGCTAATTGAAACTAGATCACCATGGAAAACCTGGAAGCACTGGACGACCGTCTCGTCCTAGTATGGAACTCCTCAGCAGTCTGCCTCGCGAGATTCGAACCCAGGAAAAATCGGTCTCGCGCGTGAACGCTTAAACTATATTATATTAAATTTGTTTATAATACTGAAGGGTGAAAATTACATATCTTGAATTTATTGAAACTGGACATTAAAGCCTTTGGGTGCGGCTAATGACCTAAAGTTTAAGGATTTAAACGCGAGACTGAAGGTGTTGTGTTTGGCTGCCGGATGAGAGTTCTTGGATGCGTACTTTCCGGGAGTCACATTCTAGGATGAAACAATCTTTTAGTAACTCCAAAGTTTTAGTAGTGTAACTGAGATCAGTCCGTGATTCAAACTATAAATATTACATAACAGTTCAAAAAGCATATATAACTTAAAGATTATTTCACATAATCTACCCAATACAAATGGGAACTGAGCTACCAAGATTGTTAGCTACGAATATAGATAAATAAGTAACCAATTGTATTTACTCAAACGCTAACCATCTTGAGTCAATCTTACTTTCATGACCTACCTTTAATAGGCTATTAATTAGTAAAATTTGTAATTTGTTTATAGTTGCATGACTTATTGAACAAACAAGCGGCTATGTTTCTGCATATTCAGCTGTAACGTTTTGCAAGATTTCAGCTTGTAAATTCATCATCAAGCAATCTCAGTCTCCCTACCAATAATAATATTAACAAGCCTCTAGCGATTTATTTTTTGCTTTTGTACTAAGTAGTGAAATGACAAGGTAGCTGAAACGTTTAACTTCTGGAGACGTTCAGAAACATTTTAGATATTGTAAATAGAAACAAGACAAGTGTATTGTCACATTTAGGGAGTAATTTAACAAGAAACAAAACTTACATACTCTAAATTTATAGACTAAAGTATTGCTGACCTAAGTTCTCCTATGTATTCAACAGACAACAAATGATGAGTTTCAACAATATGCAACATAATAAGTATTACTAGAATAAGAATTTTTACAAAAGTATTCGTAGGTTATATTCTACACATTTATGTATTTCGCTCTAATATATAAATTTAAAAATTACTAAAAGCCTTTTTCTAGTGTTTCGTTTTGCTAGGGCAAGTGATAGCTTGATCAGTTGGAGTATGAATCGTTTACAACATGTGTTTACATCTTGAGGAGGATTATAGATGTCTAACTGTATAATACGGTAATGTGTGTGTTCACATAGCACGTTTTAGAGTGCTTATCGTTAAACACGACTCGGTTCAATTCAGACAAATCTGACTTTTAATATAACTGTGGAATAATCATATAAATATTGTTTTATCCATAAATTCTTTTGATTTATTTCAAAAGTCAAGTAAATCCTTGTCACCAGTATTTGGTTATGCATTTTGTACTTTGTCTCTTGTGTTCGAGTTGCCATGTCAGAGTTAAGGCTGTAACCGGCTAAGAAAACCATTTAGGTGTATCAGTAGTAAGACTTATCAATTTTTAACACGAGACATTGTATTTATTTTCTCCACAAACAAGGAAGTATACAACAGATTCTAATTTATGTCTCTTCCGCAGCTCCTCTTCCTTGTAATAATACAGGGGATCCAGCTCATATACTTCAATTATGACGATGAGTATAAGATACCTTTGTGGAAAGCGAAGCTTTCATTGTTGTTACGGCCATAATCATCATTAACATTCATTTATGTAGAAGTGAGCTCTTTAACTATTCTATATGGACCAAGTTAATTCATTTTGGTGGCCGCGTTGTTGACTGGTTGCTTTATTCATTTCTCCTTGGATTAATGTTGATTGTTTAGTTTGCCTGACCTTCGATCACGTGATTGACTGAATTATTCTGTGCTAGTAGATTGATTGAATCTATTTCGATTGCTTTTTACCGAATGCTAATTGATTTGAATGTCATGCTTCAAACATCGCCTTGACATTTACATAATCGTCTTAATCCAAAATTTCAACGCTTTTCCAATCAAAATCATATTTATATGCATTAATAAGAGTGATATCATATTATATTGTCACATTGCTATTGAATTTGAATGTAAAAGAAGTGCCTACTTTGTCCAGTGCAATATTCCTAGCAACTGATGCAACTTATTTTCGAAATGACTCTATGTGTGACTACATTAGAAGTAGTATTTTTCAACTTATAAAATGAGATGAATTGATTGTCTCAGTTTGTGATTGATATTAATTCTAATAGGTTGTATAGTCATATATACATGAATGAAAAATATTCTTTTCAGTAGTTCTTAATCAGGTTATACAGCTATATATCTAAATGAATAATCCAAAAGAATGGCCAAGTTCAAGGCAGATACATAATGTGAATTTAAGGCTGCTTGTAAAACAATATAAATTTATTAATGTTGAAATGACTGATATATAGTGTTAACTTAAATAAGTTAATCTGTTGAATGGAATTAAGATTAATAATAAAAGTAAATCATCTAACTATAGATCTTTGTAATCTTAAGTGGTGTGAATCCACTCAACGCTATCAGTTGAATTCCAGAAGTTGGGACTATTGATAAGAGAGTAAAGTGAGACACCGAGCAGTGACTTAAATCGTTTTGAGTGCAAACGATATAAGAAATTGATTTTTCCCAACCGTCTGTGGCATATAGTTACATCGTGAGAAGATGTAATTGTATAACTTAGTCAGTTAGTTATAGATACTTAGTTGTACGATTTAGTAACTATGTGTTCACATAGTTAATTATCGAATAATTGTTGTTAAATGTTACTCAGTTCAAACTAATAAAATTTGACTACTGATCTGGCTGTAAGTAAATCAAATAGAACGTCATATATTAATGCATCATTTGGATTTATTTCCCGGTCAAATAAATCCACATCAGTATTCTTTGTAAGTTAACTACGCGTCTTCATATTTGGAGTCTTTAGTACCAAACAAACGTCAACTAACCATGTTACTGACACAACAGCAATATGAATTGTTGCTTTGTATGAATAATAACTTTAATCTATCATGAAATAAAAACAATGTATGCATTGAAATTAATGATTTTTCGAAACTTACTTTAATATTCCCTTCCACATCATTTCGTAATAATGAAAATTTTGAATCCCATAAACCTGATCGAAAAAATATTGATTAACAATCAACAACACAAAGTATAACATGTGTACTTACCGAAAAAATCACAAATCATTTTGGATAGTTGTAGAAATGTTTGTATATCAAGATTTTTTTCATCTTTAAATATTGGGATATTAGAAAAGAATGTAATCATTGTAATCCGTTTTTGTTTATTTTGTACAAACAAAAAAACTATGAGTTAACGTTGAAATCAGTTAGATAAAGAAACAAAACTCTGGAAGGAAAACAACCAAAAACAACAGTAAGAACTGATAACTCATTTGACTAACAATAATAATATGTCATCTAATAAGTACATGGATTGAAACATACTATTTGCGTGTAAATCTTAGTGATAATTTTATCCATCAATATAGACAGAAGTTGGTTAGGCGAAGTTTTCAAGATTCGAAATACTGGATAAAAGTTGAGTAATTTAGCTACTAGATCACTTCTTTAGTGAACTTTTTAACATTCATAAAAATACATACAATATCAACAATTAAGGTCGATCAATTAAATGAGATGTTAACAGTTGATTTAATGTACAAAAACTTCTAAAACAAACAATACTCATCAGCTTGGTCAATTTCGTACTTGTTTGAACAGTCGTCGAAAATACAGTCAAATTTCAGATTTTTTAAGTTCATTGCAGCTGCGCATTGCGTTTTTAAGACATCCAAACAGTATCATATAGTTTACAAGTATTATCATTATCGTATAAAAACCAGTTTTTTTTTCAAAAGTAGTACGTAATCTAAAACTTGGCAATCATTATAGCGAACTTATATAAAAAACTATCGAGATCCACCATGTCCATTATTTAAATATTTAGAAACTAAAACTCATTACCACAAATGTATTTTTCTGTACCGGGAAAAATCTCGTATAATTTGCACCGCTGAAATGTGGATGCATAACTGAGCACCGAACAAAATCTAGTTTCAAATAAACCATAATGGAAAACCACTATATATAAGTTCTTACTAGTAACTTTTAACTATCTTAGACTGGGATATTGCTCATCGCCCATGTGCTGTTTTAATGATGAGAATTCGAAACGACAAGGATGAAACCAACAGATGTTGCTGCGAATTCCTAAATGATGTTAGACTTAATATATCATAAATATTTTGAAGAAATGGAATTGTTAAATTAGTATTTGTAGTTCGTGATCCATCTGTTCTTTCAGACATTAAGGACATATTTTGGCACGAGAAAACAGAAACTGTAGTGATTTTAAAGTTAAATTTTGCCTCTTGATTCAGGATATCACCTTTCTGATCGGAAATGATGTATTACCAGAAAATATCATAGCCTATAACCTATCTCAGAACATTCATGATCGCTAAAGAAACCAGTGTGAAACTAATCATGAACATCATCTCAACAACTTCATCATACCATACACACTTAGTATACTGTAGTGTGGCGAAAATTATTAATAATGGGTAACCGTCATACAGCCAGCTACGTGTCACTGAATTCCACTTCTTCAACTTCCACTGACAATGGCTTATTACGCTATGACAAATGCGCCACCTATGTGATGGTCCGTGACTAGACAGAAGGTAATTCGTGTACTAGGGGAGCATGTGGAGTAGCTTGGGTGAAAAAGACTGAAAAGAAAAGGAGCACTAGAAAAAGTGAGTCGACAACCCAGTAAGCGTATACGATGCACTTGATTTTATTAAGGGAATAAATAAAAAAAATCAGAAATACTACAAGCCTCGTATCATGAAAGTATTCGAATCGAAAGAAGAAGCATATAGTTTGATGCACTAAGAATGTAAGTTTCAAAAAAGTTCCGTCTCTAAAAGTCCAGATTACATATGACATTCGTACGTTAAAGTATATTTGTCACACTGGCGTAAGCTAACCCCGAATACACATATCTACGGGGCATAAGTACGAAAAATTATACATCTGGTTGACTGGAAGAATGATATGCTAAACAAACTTCAGTAAATGCAATGATTACGGAAAATGTTATGAGAATAATGGAAACAAACCTTGAGAGCAGCGGTCAAACTAACATGACCTTGCAAACATTACAATATCCAATGCTGTAAGATAAAACAACTCTCAACGGGCTGTTGCTTACGTTCTTTGTAGTCACAAAAGAACCGTTGCTATAATCCTAACAGTAATGTTGGTGAAAGCTGGTTATGAACTATACACAATTGTCGACTGAAACACTGGTCTAGAAGTCGGAAGTTTCCAAATCAGCTCGAAGTTTATAGGTTCTGTATTCGGTAGGATCGTGGGCACATTATTCTGAAGATTCCTATGCATAAACGAAGCAATCATTCAGTGCTTCCTTGTTTGCAATGGTGGTCTAGCTAGTACTGCTTCACGGGGTAAATTGAGTAAATTTCATTTTGACGGAGTGAGGTACTTGCTCAATGAAAAGACGTAGGAGTCATCGAACTGCTATCAGTGATAATGCAAGTATCACTGAGATATCGTTATCTCCATCGGAGAGCAAAATATCGTTTCAAGACTGTAGGAAGTCATTGCTCAAATTGAGTACAAGTACTGAAAGAACTGATTAAGTCTGTGATCAACATATCTTATGTATTTCATCGTACTTGATATGTTTGTACTTTCGCAAAACCTCTGCATTAGTTCAAAAGTATGGAAGTAGTGTTAACTAGCTAACGTAATAGCTTAAGCCTATTAACCCTCATGGAGGACCATAGACCACCCACCATCCTTCACCAACTCCGTCCTGGACAATCCTTTCCAGTTCTTTCCAGTTGCTATTTATTCCTTTCATATCTGGTAACAGTCTCCAACGCAATGTGTTCTTTGGTCTTCCTCGTTTTTGCTTCTCTCCAAGGTTCCAAATTATTACTTGCCTTGTGGTTCAGTGTGATGATTTCTGAAATGTATGGCTTATTCACTTTTAATGTCTTTTTCTAATTTCCTCTTCAGCTCGAAGATGGATTATTCTCTCCTACAGTAGGCTGTTGTTGTCCGTTTTATTCCATACTTCTCTTCAGATATTGACGACTTCGTAATCCAGTAGACCACCAGAAGAAAGAGAAATGGGTAGAGTAAACTTCCTCATCTGCCTCCGGTCCTTACTTGGAATGCATTTGTCATCTGAGCTCCATGCACCACTTTGCAGTGTAGTCCTTCATATGAATCGCAGATGATGTTGAGGTCTTTTTGAGGTACTCCATAGTGCTGAAGAATTTTCCATAGGATCCTCCTATCCACGTTTTCAAAAGTCTTTTCATAGTCAAAGAATTTGATCTACGGTCCCATTCAACTGACTGTTCAACGATGATCTTTAGTGTCGCGATTTGGTCTGTGCACGACCGATCCTTACGGAATCCGGCATGTTGATCTCGAAGTTGTGCGTCTACTAAATCTTTCATCCGATTCAAAAATACCTTTTTAGAAACGCTTCCTGGTGCTGATAGAAGTGTGATGCCTCCATAGCTAAGTTCTTATACTTGCTCAGATTTCCCTCCTTTGGTATTTGATGAGGTGTCCTTCCTTCTAGTCCATCGGCACTTGTCCTTCCTCCCAAATCTTCCTGAATAAAACGTGAAGCATCTTAGGAGCTACTTCTATATCTGACTTTAGTCCTTCAGCTGGTATATTATCATATCTTGCTGCTTTCTCACTTTTAATTTACCTAATGGCCATTCTAGTTTCTTCGATCGTTGGTGGGATGACAGGTATAGGATGGTCTGCAGGTGTTGCTTCGATGTTTGGTGGATTCAATGGAGCTGGCCTGTTCAACAGTTCGTCGAAATGTTCCACTGACCTGTTCCTCTGTTCCCGAATCACAGTGACTATCTGGCCTTCTTTATCCCTGATCGGTCTTTCTGGTTTACTGTGTTTCTCTGACAGTTTCTTTGTTTTGTCATCCAGTTGTCTCAATTTCCCTTCTCTTGCAGCTTATTCTGCTATCGTTGCTGGATGTTTCGGGAATTTCTTGTTATCAGCTCTAACGCTCTTCTTCACTTGCTTGTTTTTCTTCTGTGTATTCAGTTTGTGTTTTAACTTTCTTTGTTCTTCTTTGGCTGTTGTTAATTATTGTCTGGTTGATCTTCCTTTATTGAATCTTATGCGGGTTTTCCATAGCAATCCATTCCTTATGATGGTTCTTTTTGTGGCCCAGCAACTTCTGACACCTTAAAGTTAGTGCTTCTATGATCTCTTTGTAATTGTCTTTTTTTGAGTGGATCCTGTAGGGCTTGTAAGCTGTTTTTCAGAGTTATCTTGATTCCTTTGAGTTTGTCAGGATGTCGAATGAATTTTCGTGTTGCTGTTTGTCCAGTTGTTAAGTCTTTCTTTTGCTTTAATTTCCTTTTGAAGACAACCCAAGGGTGATCTAAAGCTATGTCAGCTCCTCTCCTGGATCTCATGTCTTTCAATGTCCTTCCGAATTTTTTTGAGGTGCAAACATGATAGGTCTAGTTCTATGTAATGTGGTCCGATGATACCCATTTGGCTTTGTTTATGCGTTTGCGAAGGAAAATTGTGCCGCCTATAACCATCTTGTGGAATGCACATAAATTTTCAAATCCGTCATCATCCTCGTTCCTCTCTTCCAGTCAATGTCGTCCCGTGATATCTTTAGGTCCGGTAGCCTTTAGATCACCCATCATCATGGTCAGATCCCTTCTCTACGATCGACTGCAGCCTTTCGTAAAACTGATCTTTGTCGTCGTTGTTGCTGTCATTACGGGGTGCAAAACACTGGATAACATTCATCGTGATTCCCTCCTTCTTTGTTTTGAAGGATGCGTTGATGATCCTAGATCCGTGAGATTCTCATCCTCTAAGTACGCTATGTGCTTTTTTGAACAGCATCAGAGCAACTCCATGAGTGTGCTAAGTATTTTCTTCTTCATGATCAGAGTACAACAGCATCTCTCCTATACCCAACCTTTTCTATACAGCTTGATTCCACTGGGTTTCCTTTATTCCGGGGATCGCCAGGTTGTATTTCGTCATTTTCGCAGCTATTTGACTGATCCTCCAGGTCTTTCATACTTTCTGGACATTCCACTCAACTATATTAGTTGTTGTCCTGGTTGTTAGCAGAGGCAAAAGATCAAAAGATCTCGGCCATCATCATGAGACGTCATAATTCTTCTGCAAGAAGATCCTCCAAGAGACAAGGCAGAGCTT